GCCCCGCGCATCCCGCCCCGCGCATCCCGCCCCGCGCATCCCGCCCCGCGCATCCCGCCCCGCGCATCCCGCCCCGCGCATCCCGCCCCGCGCATCCCGCCCCGCGCATCCCGCCCCGCGCATCCCGCCCCGCGCATCCCGCCCCTGCTCATGCACGAGCGCGCGCACTCTCTCTCTCTCAAAAACAAACTTTAAAAAAAGAGTAAATACTCCGTGCCTAAGTCTCATTATAGGCACATTACATAGGCACATGTAATGAAGACTGTGGTGACTGGATCAAAATCTTGGGCTGGGAGTCAGAAGACCTGGGTTCTAAACTCAGTTATCATTCTGCCTTGTAAGAACTTTGATACTTTTCTGGGCTCAGATATACCATCTGTAAAAGGAGAGGGTTGCATTAGATAATGGTTCCTGAAATCTAATCCTTAAACAGATGCCAGCCAGGACTAAAAAATGGGTATAAAGTTACCAACTGTGCTTACTCTGAGATTGTCCTTCCTACTTTTTCTATTATTAAAATGGCTTCTTTTATGAGGTGATGTGATAGGCAATAGTATAATTTTTTAAATACCTTAAAGAGTCAAAATCAAAAGTCTGTAGCCCTATGTAAACATAGAATTCTTTTTAGAAATTCTTGTATCTGTATGATTTACGTGAACTCTAAAATCCCCTCTACTTCCTACATTCTACGTATTCACTATTTAACTAGCATTTTTTAGGTACCTAATATGTGACAGACACTCTTCTACTTGCTGGGGAAGCCCAGAAATAAGTAAGATTAGTCCCTCCTCCTAAAAATCTCCCTATCTAACAGGGAATTAGACACATAAACCTCAAATATAACGGGTTAAGTTTTCTAATAGAGGCTTTGCATCTTACAACATACAAGAGGTAAAATAATGGAATGAATTTTTAAATTAAGTAGGATTTTTAAAAAGATTTTATTTGCAGGGGATTGGGGGGGGCGCCACCTGGCTGGCACAGTCAGAAGAACATTCAACTCTTGATCTCGAGGTCGTGAGTTCAAGCTCCACATTGGGTGCAAAGATTACTCGAATAAATAAAACTTTAAAAAGTGAAATTTTATTTTTTTAAGTAATCTCTACACCCAATGTGGGGCTTGAACTCACAACCCCAAGATCAAGAGTCGCATACGCCACCCACTGAGCCAGCCAGGTGCCCCAAATTAAGTAGGATTTTAGAGCTTTATAGTTGTATGAGTAATTACTTAACCTTTTTAAATACCAATTTCTTTATTTCCAAAACAGGAATGATTACAGATAACAGAGTTGTGGTAAATAGATAAGATGTAAAAACAAAGGACAAGCCACCCAAAAGTTTGGCTTATATACTTTCCAGAAGACAAATTAAAAATGTATCATATATTAATGATCGGCACAAAAGGGATTATTTACAACACTGATTTACACTCAGGGGTACCTTTGTCCACTAACCTCTAAATAACTGAAGGCATACAACCAAGTTTGCTCCATTTCCCAGCACCTAGTACAATTCCTTAATAATAGCAAGTACTAATAAATGCTTTATTAGAAAAAAGGACTGAATCAATGAATGGCTTCTCTTTTTTTTTAAACAGGAATTAAAGTTGTAATAGCTGAAAGTAAAAATCTTAAATTTTCATTCAAAACTAATTTTAAGTGTGTATTTTAAGTACCCAAACCTGTCATACTGGAACCTGGATATGCCAGCCTGTTTTAAAAAGCAAACTAGGGGGGCACCTGGGTGGTTCAATTGGTTAAGCTTCTGACTTCAGCTTAGGTCATGATCACCATTCGTGAGTTCGAGCCCCACGTCAGGCTCTGTGCTCACAGCTCAGAGCCTGGAACCTGCTTTGGATTTGGTGTCTCCCGCTCTCTCTCTCTCTCTGCTCCTCCCCTGCTCTGTCTTTCTCAAAAATAAACATTAAAAAAAAAAAAAAAGCAAAATGGGGGTGCCTAGATGGCTCAGTCCATTGAGTATCCAACTCTTGATTTCAGCTCAGGTCATAATCTCACAGTTGTGAGATGGAGCCCCATGTTGGACTCAATGCTGGGTGTGGAGCTTGCTTAGGATTCTTTTCTTGCTCCTTCTGTCCCTCTGCTCTTTCTCTCATAATAAACTTTTTTTTTTTTTTAAAAGATATTAGAAACTTATTTTGTATGGACATTTTCAAATAATTATGTTTAAACACTTCCCCAAAAATAAAAACAGCTGAATTTTATTTCCAGAGGATGCTCTAAAAGAATTTCAGATGTAACTTGCAAAATCTATTTTTAGCCAACAATATGCTTCACTTCATTTCTTCCCTGGCTTCATTCTAGAACAGACTAATAATGCTTCTGATGTTTTATCTGAGTTTTAACACTTGTGTTAAATAATAACTAAAGGGGTGCCTGGGTGGCTCAGTCAGTTAAGCATCCAACTCTTGATTGTGGCTCAGGTCATGAATCTCATGGTTCATGGCATCAAGTCCTGTATCAGGCTCTGCACTCACAGGCTGGGGCCTGCTTGGGATTCCCATTCTCTCTCTCTCTCTCTCTCTGCCCCTGCCCCACTTGCGCACACATGCACGCACACACACAGGTGCACACACACACTCTCTCTCAAAAATAAATAAACTTAAAAAGAAGAAAGAAAAATGAACTCCCAGATTGGTTTATGTTACAAGTAGCTGTCCCTAGAGGAATGGATCAGAGAAGGAAGCTTAAGCACAACATTTAAGCTTTATTCAGACCTGGACGACAAAAATCTGACATACTTCTCACACAGAGTATGCCTATGGGAAAAAAACTACAGTATCTATTTTAAAAAAAATAACAATACTTATTTTTACTTTTTTTTTTAACCAGAATCGCTATGTCAAATATAGTGAGCATAAAGAGGAAACCATCCCAATTACAAATTAAGTCCTCCTACTCAAAACTTAACTCAAATTCTGTTTATCCAACTAGATATTTACTTTCATCATACCCAAAGATCCCCCTTTCACTTCCCAATATCTGTTCAAAGGTGTTAGGCCCAATTATCATCCAATCTCAAATCTAAACGCCTTTCAAAAAAATAGGTGATTACCTCCTTAATGTCATATCCCCTCTTAATATGTGACCACTAACAGCTCTCATAATTTCATTTCACCAAGGCCAAGTGTGATGTATTACTCACAACTCCAAGCCTGTGCTGCATGGCTCCAAATCATTCTCAAAGTAGTAGCACGCTATTCTCTTAATTATACATGAATTCCTTGCTACTCAAAATGTGGTTCACTGACTGGTAGCATCTTAGGCTCTACCTTACACCCATTGAACAGAATCTGCATTTTAACAAGAACCTCAGGTGATTCATACAAAGAAAATTTTAAGAGGTATTGTCCTAATTCAATCATTCAGGGTCCCTTCCTCCTGCCTTACAGTTCTTGAATTGCAATTTAGCATATAATGAAAGAGATTCTTTTTCGTTAGAGCATATTAAGACCCACCAAAATGAAGTGAGAAATCTTTCAATAAGATTACACAGAGGCGCCTGAGTGCCTCAGTTGGTTGAGCGTCTGACTTCGGCTCAGGTCATGATCTCACGGTTCACGAGTTCAAGCCCCACTCCACATCAGGCTCTGTGCTGACAGCTCAGAGCCTGGAGCCTGCTTCAGATTCTGTATCTCCCTCTCTCTCTGACCCCTCGCCTCCCCCCCCCCCACTCACACTGTCTCTCTCTTTCTCTCAGAAATAAGCATTAAAAAAAAAAGTTCTACAAATAAACTATGGTATATCCATACATTGAAATACTATACAGCCATTAAAAATGATAATACAGGGGCATCTGGGTGGCGCAGTCAATTAAGTACCTGACTCTTGATTTCAGCTCAGGTCTTGATTTCAGCTCAGGTCGTGATCTTGTGGTTAGTGAGTTTGAACTCCAGGTCGGGCTCTGCACTGATAATGCAGAACTGCTTGGGACTGCTCTCTCCCCCTCTCCCTCTGCCCCTCCTCCTCTTGTGCGTACACACACATGGGCATTCACCCTCTCTCAAAATAAACAAAAAAAAAAAACCCGCCTTTTTTTTTTTTTTAACAAATAGTTTATTGTCAAATTAGTTTCTACATAACACTCAGTGCTCATCCCCAAAGTGCCCTCCTTCATGCCCATCCCCCCCTCCCCCCCACATCCATCAGTCCTCAGTTTTTGTCAGCATTCAGAATAGAGTCTCTCATGGTTTGCCTCTCTCCCTTTCCCCCACCATTTCCGCCCTTCTTCTCCCCCTTGGTCCTCCGTCAAGTTCCTCCTAATCCTCCTATACGTGCAAACATATGGTATTTGTCCTTCTCTGCCTGACTTA